CAAGAAAGATACTCTAGGTACTGCTTAATCTATTATGTTAATATGTAGTAAAACAACTATATTGTGGTGGAACTACAGGCTTATAGAGGTGCGCAGGTTTGGTGGGGTGCGGCGCTCGCTTGCCTGCGGCGCTCGCTTGCCACATACGTTATAAGAGAAGAGAGAAGAGGGAAGAGACCAAAGGTTTCTTCACCACCCACAGACATCACATGAGTCATCTCACTCATTACTGCGTCAAACTTCTCATCAGCCTCCGTCCCCTCTCAAGGCGAGTCTCCTCATGCACGATCTGGCTCACCGCCGCACTCTCAGTTTCGTCATCCTTATACTTGTCCGCCTCATCCTCAGTAACAAGGTCAGACGGCAAGTTGATGGCGCGATCAAGTGCATATGGCAGACCCCTGTGGCGACCACGCAGCATCATAGCACAGATGACGACTTTACCGAAGACGGTGTATTCGCCCGAGAGGGAAGCAAGGTTGGTTGGGTAGCCGAGAGACAGTCCGACGTTGCCGTAAGCAGAGACGACTTCGAAGAAGATGGAGAAGACGGAGAAGGCCTGGTTAGATGAAATCAGTATTTTGTCTTGCACGCCGGTGGGGAGTATCCGGGGAGTGGAAGAAGGGAATAATACTCACAGGATCATTTGGATTGGTAATCCTCTTGCTCTCAACAGTGCAGATGCAGAAGACACCGAGGAAGATGTACCACAGGTCAAAACTTAACTGGTTGCGCATACGGTTGATCATGTACGTCTTGCTGTCGTTCTTCTCATCAAGGCTCTCGTCTGCCGCGTAGAGGCCCACGGAGCTTTCCTCGTAGCTCTCGCTCATACGGATGCTGATGGCAATCGGATAGACAGAAATATACATCATGACGAGGAGACTGAACTGCACGGCAGGATTGACATTTGCAAGGTTGAATGAGGCAGTACCGGTGTGGCGCGATGAGGCGGATTGGAAGAGTGCGGCGAGAACGCGGGGCCCACCGGGGAGGACGTTGACTTCGGGGTTGTTGAGATCGAGAATGACAATGAGGAGCGTATCAAGGAAGTTGAGGATGAAGAGGATGGCGGCTAGGATCCACGTGGCTGCGCTGGGGAAAAGCAGTGTATAGCATCGGCGGGGGTGGTCGAGCAGAAACCGAAGCGACTCAGACAGTGAAGAGTCTTGCGGCGCGAGTTTCCACATGATCCAGATGACGAGGCGAAGGAACACTGGGTAGAATGTGTTGCCAGCAAAAGCCAAGAATGACATGATGAGCATGGGCCAGGTGGCGTCACGGAAGGAGATCATGCTGTCTGGGGTAAGGGTAAGGCCAAGATTGTCGATCATGGTTTGTGCCGAGTAAATGGCCCTGGTGACTGTTAGTACACAATGGTCTCTGATGTGGGGTTTTGAGATACATACCACCATGTTTTGTCTTGGCCCTGCGAAGCGAGGTAGTCTTTGTACTTTGCGGGAGCAAGATGTATCCATGGAATCAAGCAAATCGCACCAAACAGATGCAGACCGAAAAAGTAAACTGGATATCGTCAGTGATGATTTCAGTATGGACTTGCATGATGAGACATACCAACTACAATCTTGAGGAGAACTTGCAGAGCGCGATGTTCCACTCCGCCCAACTCTTCTCGACTGAGTGATTTCAAGTCAATGGATGGTTGCCTTGACCTGTTGTCCTCACTGCGGCGGGCACTTGTAACACCTGGAGTGCTTCCAAGAACAAAAATGGAAGAGACAGCGCGGTCTACCGAAGTGGCTTTGCTCATACTCCTAGTCTCGGAAATGGCGCGGCGGAGCGGGTTGCTTGACTCTGCAATTGGCTTAATCTGGTCCTCGTCCTCATCTGCCACAAGCGTGTTAGTTGTGTCATACTAAAAACTGATACCGTATAGCTTACCATCTGACATGGAAGCGATGGTGTGGTCTATATTGCGTTATTATTATTATTATTATTATTCTAGTTTAACGTCCTTTTTCAGCCCGAAGGGCTATATAAGACGTGTAGGGTTTTTAGGCCTACAAGTATCTAAGTAGGTTGTTTCTAGCTACAATATTTAGGAGGGGTT